ATTAAGAACTGTGCCATCCTATCCCTACCTCAGGCTGTTTGCTCACCTCCCTGCCACGACAGGAAAGGCTCTGTTCATGGGAAGGCAGCTGTGTGTGGCCCCCTCAGGAAGGGTGGCCCTCCTGGGCTGAAGCAGACAGGCAACCCAGCCTCAGCTCCCACCCCAGCTCCTCAGAGCCTCTTTGTGAGGCTAGTTCTGACTGTGGCACTTGCCAGGAAACGAAGGTTCCAGGGCCATAGGCAGGCCGGCCCGTCAGCTGTCCAGCTTCATGTAAATGCTATCTTATCTTGGCCGGCATTTCCTTGGAATGTTTATTTGGTAAAGAAGAAAACTAAGATCAGACTGAGCTTTAAGAAGTAGCTGCAGAAGCTGGGCAGTGGTGGCTTGCACCTTTAATCCCAGGCAGAGGCAGGCAGATCCCTGAGTTCGAGGCCAACCTGATCTACGGAATGAGTTCCAGGACAGCCAGAGAAACCCTGTCTCAGAAAAGCAAAACAAACAAAGAAAAGAGGGAATACAGGTCCCTCACCTTGGACCCCAAGTGTCAGGCAGGCGATTTATTCTTTGGAGAAGCTGAAGGTAAGAGCAGCAGGTGACCCTGTTCTTTGTTGTGCTCAGCAGATCCTTGGCCTGTCCCCACCAGAGCTGAGCAGCACTCCAACTTGTGACAACCACAAAAGTCTCCAGGCATTGCCAAAGCTCTCTTGGAGATAAAGATAGATTGTCCCAGCTAAACATGAGTTCCAGAAAGATCCTGTAAGGTAATATTGGGTGTGTTATTATCTGCCATTTATCTGATGCTCAGATTTCACTAGGAACTGTGGTTAATTGTTGCTATCAGGAGGACTGGCGGTATGGGCCATGTGGTCAGTCTGTAAACCTTTCTCATTTTAACATCAGGTCAAAATCCATTTAGTGAAACGCTGTGATAGCACTTAAGCAGAGCTGTACCAGACAATGTGATCTTACTCCAGGACAGACACAGCGGAGTAGAATTGATGGTCAGGAAAGAAATCCTTACCTCTAGGGTCAACTGACATTTAACAAAAAATGCCACAATCATTCAAACGATAGTGCATGGTGGAGTAGACTTTTCAACAAATGGTTCCAGATATGATAACTGGACAGCCTAAGGCAAAGGAGTGAGGTCAGATAGATGTCTCACAACGAGCAGAATAAAACTCACTCAAGATTACCCAAATACAAAGGAAAGAACAAAATCTCTAAAAATGCCTATGCAAAATAGAGGGCAAACTCTTCAAAACAAAACGTTTCACATTTGTTTATTTACTTATCTCTGGTGGGCACATGTGTGTCATAGCACACATGTGAGGTCAGAGGACAACCCACAGGAGCTGGCTCTCTCCTTCCATCGTGTGGACTTTTCCATCATGAAGATCTGTGCACTCATGTAAAAAGCTTTTCCTTTGTATTCCCAGCGCTGGGGAGACAGAAACAGGCAGATCAGCTCAGCCTACTTGGTGAGCTCCAAGACAGGAGAGATCCTGTCTCAAAAAACACACGGGATGTGTGCAAGGCCCTGGAACTGATTGCCAGCATTTCAAAAGTAAAAGAATATATTTGTTCCAAGTTGACATTGAGACTACATTTCTGAACCTGGTGTGGTGGCTCATACTTTTAAACCCAGTACTCCAGATAGAAGCAGCTGGATCTGAGTTCAAGGCCAGCCTGGTCTACAGAGCAAGTTCAAGGACAGCCAGAGCTATACAGAGAAACCCTGTCTGACCTCCCACCCCACAAAAGGACTACATTTCTGCAGAGGCACCCTTGTTCTCATTGGGTTTTATTCTCTGGACATTACGTATGCCTAAGCAGAATAAAATCACTCTTCAGACTGTAGCAAATCTTTTACGAATACTTTTCTAGGAAACCTCCCCCCCCCCACAATTTTCTGAAATGAAAAACTTCAGTTCATCATGAATTGAATGCACAATAGCAGATATTTTCTATATGTTTTGCATGATAGTTTTAAGTCCTATCGAGGAGAAAAATTAAAGACTAAAGGATGTGAAAGGTTCTTCTAGAATAATGAAAGGATGTGATTTCAACACTTTCTCCTTCGGTAAAGATAAGAATAGAGATGCTTCTCTGATAAACCTTTGAGAGAGTCTGAGTGCACTTTGAAAATGTCAGGCACAATAGTAGGAAACTGCTTCTGGGAACATTATCTGATTGCTTTGGGAGAGCTAAGGTTATTGGTCCGGAGGAAGCTGAGTAAATTATGCTGAAGGCAAAGCACACTGTTTATGCCAGGTTCTCTACATAGTCCCATGACTAAGGAAACCCTTCCTCAACAGCCCAGCTTCACTTTTGTAGCATTGTTATGGTTTGATTTGATTTTCGTGTATGCATGGGTATCTATGCACCACGTACATGCCTTCTGTGTGAGGAGATCAGGAGTAGCATTGGATCCTCTGGCACTGGAGTTACAGATGTTGGGAGCAGCTGTGTGGGTGCTGGGAAGCAAACGTAGGTCCTCTGCCAGTGCTCTTAACCTCAGAGCCATCTCTCTGTCCCTACTGCATCAATGGATGTTCACACACTGTGTTTAGCTTTATCTAAAGTGTGTCAGCTTTGGTAAAGTGACATTTTTCTGAGGGTGTTCATCAAACAGCAAGCATATGACTGAATCGATGGAAAGTGCTCCTTTTCACCCTCCACAGACTTTGAACAGTGCTCACAGGGTGAGCCTACAACCATTTGTGTGGCTTGGCCGCTGCTGCAATAAGACAAATAATGAAAAGAGAAGGTAAATTTTACTTTTATATTGTGGGATCAAGCCCAAGACCTTATGCAGAGAAGGAAAATTGAAGTTTTAAAGCTAATACTTGTAGACCAACGCCCAATGTTCAGTCAGTCATTCTAGAAATATTCTACTATCCATTAAAAAAATAAAAAACACACATATGTATTTCAGAATTATGTATAACTATGCCCTCACCCTTACTTCCATACTGGATAATGAATCCAGAGCTTTGCACATGTAAGCAAGAACTTCACATTGTATCTTCAGCCCTTTCAAACAATTTTATTTTGACACAAAGTCTTGCTCTGCATTCTAGGCTGGCATCCAATTTGTGATCCCTCTGCCTCAGTTTCCTGGATAACTGAGATGACAGGCTTCTACCACCATGATCATTCATATATTTTTTTGGTTGAAACCAAGACTGAGCAAATAAGGGGATTAATTTGTCATGGGACTTAGTACAATTTGTTTAACCCATTCATGCCTCAGTTTCCTGGTTTTAGATCAAGGCCTATAACATCATGTATCATGAAAGCCTGTTGCCATAAGAGCCTGTTGTGAGGCCACCTGCATACAGAGCTTTGAAGAGTGTCTGGAAGGCATTTCCTTGTCTTACTTGGAGTTACTATTGCTATGATGAAACACCATGACCAAAAAGGGATTGGGGAGGAAAGGGCTTATACCTCCACATTGTAGACCATCACTGTAGGAAGTCAGGACAGGAACTCAAGCAGGCCTGGAACCTGGAGCTGGTACAGAGGCCATGGAGGGTGTAACTTACTCCCTTGCTCTTCATGGCTTGCTCAGTCTGCTTTCTTATGGAACCCAGGACCACGAGCCAAAGGATGTTACCACCCACAATGGGCTGGGCCCTCCCTCATCAATCACTGATTAAGAAAATACCCTACAGGCTTGCCTATAACCCAATCTTAGGAGGCATTTTCTCAAGGAAGGTTCATTTGTCCCTCTAGCTTGTGTCAAGTTGACATAAAACTAGCCAACACACCTATCTATTACATTTTTCTATTATGTATGTTTCTTTGACACTAAGGCCTATAATCTATAATTGTCTGCAATTGTCAAACTCCAAAACCTTAAATCTGGTCATGTAGCTTGAAGTGAACTGACAATAGGCTGATATATGGCTTTGTCCGTTTTAGTATAAGCATTTCTCTGTTTGCCACAGTAATACTAATGAATTTCCCCTTCCTACATCTGCAACTTTTAAATTCTAAAACATTGGTGATCATGGACCTATGTCAATAAGATGCCAGCTCAACTCAAGGGAGAAACAACCAGCTTTGGTCTCATAGACTCCTGGCTTTGAGCCTAACCCTGTCATTTGCTTTGTGGTAGTTTGGGTGATTGACATGTGTAAGATCCACCCCTAGATTAGTAACCTTCTGCATCACTTTGACCAAAGATTCCTCATAAGAGCCAGAAAAGATTTGGGGAAACATAAGGTAGAGATTTCTTTGACATTTGAGTTTTGGGACTTTGGCCCACCATAGCAGAGCAGGCGTGGTGGAGGGACTCCATCTGCTATAGTGTGTTGGAGACTCCAGCTCTTAGCAGATCAGAAAGCTGAGCAATCAAAACTAGGGTTCAGCCTGTAACCTCCAGATCTAATCCTAGTTAACTACTTCTGTTACCTGTGTCCCACTGCCTCTCCAAACAGCTTTGCCAAACTGAAAGCCAAGCACTCAAAATAGGAGCCTGTAGGGCAATCTTAGAGTCACACCATAGCAACTCCCACCCATTACCCACTAGATGTCTTCCTCACCAGTGAGCACAATTTGGAGGAAGCCCTGATCTTGGACTGTGCACCTGTGCTCCGCCCAACAGACCAAGCCAGAATAGTTAGAGTTTAATCTTAGTAAATGGGCTTTGGTTGCCTGCAAGAGACTCTGTAGCCAATTAACTGATTAGGCAGTAAACAACTAGTTAAGGTATTTGATTAGTGGGTGATTCAGCTGTAGCCAATGAAGTTATTTTCTGTGTTCTGCTTTTCCATAAATGTTGTCCCATTGTGTTGCTGTTGGCTGGAGTTCTCAGAACCTTGCTCTGGTTTGGTTTGGGGAGCTGTCTAGTTGGCTGAACTGTTTTCTGGCACTCAGAGAACCGCTACTGGAATTAATTGGCCTAAGGACTTTTCCTTTTAACATCACCAGTCACTGCTTTGGGAGAGTGCCACATGAGTGGCTTGTTCAAGGCCACCCTCCCCCTGCACGTTTAGATAGTTATCTCTCAGGCGGATGGCGTATGAGCCGGCTGAGAACGTTCTGTGGAATTCTGAGAATGGAGACAGTGATGCAGGGAAGGACTCTGGCTGTCGCTGTTTTCCCACTTGTCTCTTGCTGCCCTCCACTAGCAGTCTACCAAGGGGACCTCCTAAAGGACGGGAGCCCAGGAGGTAACGTGCACACAATGACTGATGGCTGAATGTGGTGCCAGGCTTTATTTGCACGCCAGTTACAATAGAAAAAGAAGTGAAGGTATGTTTCATCCTGTTTCATCCCATCACTGCAGGCTGCAAAGACTACAGAAGACCAGAGGATGTGGGAGAGGCGTGTTCGCTGGCTTGGACTAAGTGAATTAAGACGGTAGCTGCAGGCCAGGGATCTCATCCCTGACTGTACAGCAGGCTCGCCCAGGCACCTCAGAAACAAGAAGGCCCTCAGGAGAACAGGTGGCCCTAAGTCCCAAGAGAGGACTCCCAGGTGGCAGGGTTTCAAAAACTGTCTTCAGGTGAGTCTGCATTCAGCTCTGCTATAGGTCAGTGAGCTGCTGCCTGCTCCCCAGGGAACAGTAGTGATGCCCAGGTCCCAAATCCCAGAAAATCCCAGTCAGCTGACCTGGTATGGGAGATGGGACAAACGTCCATTTTTTTAATTTTGGGATTCAGAGGAGTGATTGCAGAAAAAAGAATACTAAAACTAAGCAAATAAAAAATCATTCTTAGCCGGGTGTTGGTGGCGCACACCTTTAATCCCAGTACTTGGGAGGCAGAGGCAGGTGGATCTCTGTGAGTTCAAGGCCAGCCTGGTCTACAGAGCGTGTTCCAGGACTCTCTGGTCCTTAAATGTGGGCTGTACTCTGCTTTTTAGCATTTTGCAAAAATATTGTCTGTTTGCGAGCTTTTCTTGTCAAGCGTTGTGAAGGCTCTGATGTGAGATGTACAAGTGCCTTGGGAGATGAAGCCCTATCTACAGTTTCAATATATCCGTTTCCTTCACACAGACACACATAGAAACATACAGACCAACATGCACAGACATACACAAACAGACAGATGCACGGAGGCTCCTCTTTCATTCTGCTCCCCCCCCCCCCAGTCTACCCACGTAACATTGCAGAGTCGCTGTCATGTAAGGTCTGAGACACTGGGGCTCTGGCGAATCCTGGGAGGGTCATCAAAGCTTTTGAGGCCTTTTAGCTTGGCTGCAAACATTCCTTCTGTTGTGAGGACTTTTTATTTTGAAATTTGGAGGTGGCTTTTTGTTTTACATTTACTTATTTGTTTTGCATGTGATTGGGTATGGATGTGCCATGACATGCATGCCCAAGTCAGGACAACCTGTGAGAGTCATTTCTCTCCTACTGTGCCGGTTGGAGAGGTGGAAATCAAGCCACCAGGCTGGTGACAAAGCCCTCTTAACCTCTTTACCGGGCTGAACCATGTCCAGAGCAAGCCTTTTGTTCTTAAGACTCCTTCCACTCTGTGTTTTCCTGTTTATCAAGAGAAAGCCCTTCCTCTCTTTCCCACAGCAACAGCTGGTGTGGGAGCCACCCTGCCCTCTTGTGTCCTTCGGTAGCATGAAGGCCTGGCACTATCACCTGCCAGGTGTCATCCCACTAGAGGTGTTGGGGCAGATGTTGTTACCTCTGCCTACATGACAGCCAGATGAAAGCACAGCCAGCCTGTAAACAAATATGTTCTCTGTCACTGAGTTCTTGCAGTGAATTCTTTTAAGAAAGAAAAGCTAGAGACACCAAGGATTAAACACCACAAGGAGGAGGCAGACAGCGATGGATTCCACTCGTCTCATTCTTCTTGGGGAGAAGCCTTTTTTATTTTTTGGCTTTATTCATATACCACTGACAAAATGTATGCATTCAAGGTATATACAATGTGATAATTTGATACATATATGCATTGTGAAATGATTGCCATAATCAAGGTAATTAACATGTCTATCACAGTGCATAGGTTGTGATTTGTGTGTGTATACGTGTGTGTGTGTGAAAAAGAGAGCGAGAGAGAGTACGTGCTGACAAGAGAATTTAAGATGAACTCTCAGTGAGTTTCAAATATGCAACACAACATTTTATTGTATCTTTGTTGTTTTGTTTTTTAAAAGATGGGGTCTCTCTATGTACCCCTGGCTGTCTTGGGACTCTTTATGTAGACCAGGCTGCCCTCAAACTTGCAGGGATCCACCTGCCTCTGCCTCCTGAGTGTTAGGATCAAGGGTGTGCACATCATGCACTAGCACAATACAGAGTTGTTAACCACAGTTACCAGACTGTGTGCTCCAGCCTGGAGCTTATTCCTTTCCCTTTTTTGAGGACAGGGTCCTATGTATCTCAGGCTTTCCTGAAACTTGCTGTGTAACCAGGGTTGGTTGAATTTCTGATCCTCTACTTCTCTGTTTATGCTGTGCTGGGTAGTAAAAGCAGAACTTCATGCACCCCAAAAAGCAATGCTCTGGGTGAGCTCCATCCCCAGCCCCTACTTTTGTTATCATTGAAAGTTGAACACTGGGATCAACATCTCCCCCATTTCCTCCATGCCTCTGGCAACTCATTCTATGGTCTGTTTCTGTGAATTTATTTAAGGTTCTGCCTACAAATGAGATCACGCGTGTACATGGAGTTTTTCATTGGGACTGCTGGCTCACCAAACAACCCCACAGAAACTTATTATTAACTGTAAATGCTTGACCAATACTTTAGGCTTGTTGCTGACTAGCTCTTACAACTTAAATTAACTTATATTTCTTATCTACGCTCTGCTGTGTGGTGGTTCTTCAGCATGGCATGTTCATCTCCTGCTTCTTCTGCATCTGGCAACTAACCTCTGCCTGCCTAGCTATTGGCCACTCAGCCCTTTATTAAACCAAGGAGAGCAACAAATATCACAGTGTACAAAGACTGTTCCACAGCCCATGTGTCCTCCTGTGTCTGGCTTATTTCTCTTTACATAATGCTTACCAGGCTCATCCGTGTCTTTACACTTGGCAAGTTTTCCTTTTTCTTACACTGAACACGTGAGCGTGTGCTCATGGGGACACACACACACACACACACACACACACACACACCATCACACCACTGGTTTATTCATTCGTCTGTCCACAGATATTTAAGCTGTCTCTGATCTTGGCTGCTGTCTAATATTGCAGTGAACTTGGGATTGAAGACATGTCTTGGAGACCCTTATTTCATCCCTTTGGATTTAGATTCCCATGCTTTATGATGGCTTAATATTCTTTATAGCAATGCAAAGATGATAAACATTTGTAGAAACTGTACTTTTACTTTGGGGTTGGGCTCTTTTCCTGGGCTGATGATACAGGCAATTCAGATGCCAGCCATCTCCCATCCCCATAGCTACCTGACACAGTATTAATGTACTGCGCCATGCTTCTACAAGTTAGGATGTCTAGAAGGTTCAATGGATTAAGTGCATTTCAACCTACGACACTGTCAACTTGCCTTGAGATTTTAGGGCCTTATGTGCATGGTAAGTCAAAGTACAACTACACACTCGGAAGCATTGCTGAGTGGTCTGATGGGGGAGGCAGAGAATGAACTCTCCTTTGTCTTTGGAGGCTTGGCCAGAAGCCCTGAAGGCACTTGCTCCAAGAAGAGGGACACTGTGAGTTCTCTGGGAAAAGAAATACAGGAAATATTGACAGTCTCTTTGGTATGCAATATATGCAAATCAGCTGCATTTAAAGCAGGAGCTGAAGCACAGACACTTTATGAAGAAACAGTTAGTACTCAATGGTGGTTTTAGTCACACCACTGCCAGGACGGGGTCAGGCCCAGAACCCTCCTGGTTATTTCTCCATGCTTCTAGCTTCCTGTCATTTTGCCTGCAATGGCGTGATTCCCAAAGATGCAGAGGTGGTAGCCATTCCCAGTATCTGCTGTCCCTCCCACATTTCTGTGTGTAACTGTGCCATCTTTTCTGCAGTTAAATACTTTGAAAAAATACTTTGAAATATTCCATGTGTTTCCCCACCAGGCTCTGGTCACTATTGTCACTACGGTTCTTTTCATTTAGGCTTACAGTAACCTGCATGTCTGTGTACAGATTTAATTGCTAAAACCTTCTGTTTTGGGCTTGGGTCTACATTTTCGAATAAAGAGCCTATGACAAGGTCCGTGTGTATGTGTGTGTGTGTGTGTGTGTGTGTGTGTGTGTGTGTGTGTGTGTGTGCACGTGAAAGCTAGAGGCCAACCTTAGGATTTATTCCGTTAAGCTGGCTGGCCAGAAGGCTCCAGAGAGGCTTCTATTTTTGCTCCCCATCACTGAGGTCACGAGGGTGCACCTCCATACTTGGCTTTTTATATGGGCTCTGGGGACTGAGCTCAGACCCTCAGCTTGTCCAGAAGGTACTTCCCCAACTGAGCCATCTCCCTCCCTACCCCACTCCCCTTTGCTCCTTTTGAGTGGTTGATTTTGAACAACCTCTTACTACTTCACACTGTAGTGCAGGCTGGCCTTGATCTTCAGATCCTCCTGCCTCAACCTCCTGAGTAACAGGGGTTACAGACCTGTGCTCCAGAGCATGGTTGCTAACTGCTGACTCTGCACTTCCCAGTTTTTCTGTCGGCGTTCACATCTGCTTACTTATTACTTTATTTCCTGACTGAGCTCATGACTATAATAAAATGTGAAGAGGAAAAATTTAGGTAGCAGTAATGTAGTGTCACTGTGTGACCTCAGGCAACTGCTTAATCTTCAGTCTCAGTTTTCCTTATCCCCAAAATGGGCATAATCCTTACCTCATCTGATAGGGTTTACATGAAGGCTAACTAAATTTAACATGTGAGGCAGGGGCATAGTCATGATAGAAAGCATTCAACTATGACAGCTATTATTTTATCAAAGACAGGGTTATACTTGGTATTAAATGACAGGCTTTGCATTCAGCTTTGGCACTGAGTAGTTGGTTTACCTTAGGGCTATTACATAAGCTCTTTCATCTTTAAGTTTCTACATTCATAGGGTGGGGTTAACACTACTTGGCTCAATTATCAGTTGTCAGACAAAAAAATGTGATAACATGTGGGACGTTTGTAGGCACTAAAGGGCTGTACAAATAAAAGGTAGCCTGCCCACACTGGCCACAGAGCCCTTCTTGCCATAAGTGGGTGTTTTCTCTGGTTCCTCCTTGGCCAGCCCAAAGAGGAGAAGACTAAAACAGGGTGGTGGTTATGGGTTATGAAGGGATGGCAGGCAGGGAAGGTATGATTGCTCTGGCAGTTCTCTGAAGGTCCCTTGTTCCTTAGAAGTCTGAAGCTGGCACTCCCTGGCTTTGTCTGCGACAAGGACCAGGAGTGGCAGGCCCAGAGCAGGTTTTGAATGTTTGGTGGTGAGCAGGAAGATAGCACAGCCCAGCAGGGTTGGATAGAGAGAGGGTTTGCAGCAGCCGTTCTGATTAACCCACAGTAACACATGGGTCACTTAGCCTAAGTGGAACCCGGGATCCTGTGGGAGTCTAATGCCCTGCCCC